CGGTCACTACGTGGTTTATTTCGACGTTTCGGCCTAGAGTCTCGCCTTCATCAGGATTTAAGATAGTTTGTTGGTGCTCAGCTCTATACAATCTCTAATCAGAGGGCAAGTAAAGAGGAAAAAAAGATAGACAAGAAAAAAAGGAAAAAAAGGAAAAGGAAACAAAAAGAAGAAAAAGAGAGAAGAAGAAGAGAAAAATAATATACGGTGGACTCCCTTCGGGCGCCCCCCTTCCACTCTTCCCTCCACTTCCCCTTCATCTCTCTCCCTCTTCTCCCCTTCACCTTTCTGATGTCAGCGGTCTGTGTATGTTTCCTTTCACTAACGCATTCCTTCCGATCAGACGGCGCCTCCTGGCACTGGCGGTTCGGTGTGGGGCGAAAAAGAGCTTTTTAGGAAGTCCTAAGCCTTTAACTACTCGGAGTCCCGTAAACAATTCGTGGTAGAAGGAGGGGTGCCGCGTATTGTGGCAGAGGCTGGTAAGCGGGCATTTTAGGAAGTTCTAAGCCTTTAACTACTCCCGCCTTGTCAACATTTCGTCGTAAAAAGAGGGAAGCCCCGTATTGCGGAAGGCTCTGCAAGCGGGTGCAATGCGAATTCCTTACCCGCTTCTGGACTACGCGTGTAGTGGGGGCCTCCCGGCTGTGCACAGGGTTGCTGTTGGGCATGTCATGCATGGCAAAATTGATTGGGTAGTAAAATAAAACAGAAAAAAGACGACAGCTGCACTTAGGAAGAGTAGTTACACTTGGAATCGTTTTGGGTTGTCCTGTGCCCTTCACAGCTGCAGTGCCGTGAGCTCAGTTACTATTTCCATTGTTGCCGTTATTGTTTTCAAATGCTTTATTTGCTGCAAGTGTACCAGGATTCTCATTTATTCCTCTATTGAGGGTGTTAAATCGGTGGATAAGGTACGACTCTCGTTGTTCGCGCTCTCGATTTGATTTAAATCCCGTCTCTAAGAGCGCTACTGAGAGTTTGTCGAATGCATGGTCGGGGAGATTGAAATGTTTTGATAGAGGTAGACTTGGGGCTGATTTCGCATGGGCTCTGTGATTATTGAAGCGAATCCTGACTGAAGTTCCTGTTTGTCCGATGTACTGCATACCACACACGTTGCATTCGAGTAGGTATACCACATTAGAGGAATCGCATGTTAGGTTTCCTCGTATGTTAATTGAAAACTTGGATTGCGTGCTGGTTGCTTTGTCTGTTTCTCTCATCGCCTTACATACAAGACATCGTGGCTTTAAACAAGGGCGGCAAGAATTATTGGGGGGTGATGTGGTAATTTGGGATTGGACAAGGGTGTCTTTGAGGTTACGTAGTCGTCGGTAAACGACGCCTGGAGCGGATGGGAATGCGCCTTTCAGACGTTCACTTTGTTCCAGAATTTTGTAATGTCGTTCAAGGATTTTGTTTACATTGGGGAAGTTTGTGCTGTAAGTCAAGCAGAGGTTTGTTTGTTGTGGGTCTTCTCCTGGTGGTCACTTCATAAGTAAGTCTTCAAGCTTTAGTTTTCTCCCTTATTGAACAGCGTCATAAATTACATGTGGGTGGTATTTTTGTTTCTCGAGCATAAGTTTTAGCCTCTGTGAGCTCGTGTCAAAGTCAGCGTCTCTAGAGCAGATTCACTTAAATCGGTGAGCCTGGCTGTGTGGATTACTGTTTTTACATGGGCGTGGGTGATCACTTTGGTAATGAAGGTATTGTTGTCGATTCGTTGGTTTGCGATATAGGGTTGTAGAGAGCTTCTCTTCTTCTATCGTTATGGTAACATCAAAAAAATTTACGGTAACTTGCGAGCATATGTGTGTGAAGTGTATGTTCGGATGTACAGCATTGTAAGTGTCGATAAAGCTGAGAAGTTCGTCCTCACCGTGGGTCCAAATAAGAAAGATGTCGTCTATGTATCTTCTGTATAACATTGGTTTCAAGGAAGTTTGTGCAAGAAATTCAGATTCTAGCTTTTTCATAAATATGTAGGCATAATTAGGTGCCATTTTGGTGCCCATAGTGGTCCCGCTGATTTGTCGAAAATACTCTTGGTTAAATTCGAATGAATTTAATTCGAGGACCATCCTCGTCCAAGTTGCAATGGCAGAGAAATCTGGGGTGTTGGATTGTCTATGGTTTGTGTACATGTTTTGTAATGCAGCTGTGCCGTCATCGTGAGGAATATTTGTATATAATGAAGAAACATCAAGAGTAACCAAGTACGAGTTTTTCGGCACACAGAGCCCTGCAATGGCTCGAAGAAAATGTGTGGTGTCTTTTATGAACGGCGCGAGGGTGCATGGAATGTGGCTCATTAGTTTGTCCTCGTACCCTAATATGGGTTCAGTTATTGCACCGATGCCTGATATGATTGGTCGACCTGGGTTACTGGGTTTATGAACTTTTGGGAGGATGTAGAAGCGACCGGGACGAGGGTATGCTGCTTGCATCAGTTTGTGGTCAGTGTTGGTTATCTTTTCTGCATCTAACACTTTCTTTAGTTCTGTTGATACGATACGTTTGTATTCATCTGTCGGATCACCTGGGAGGCGTTCGTAAAATCTTGAGTCGTCTAGTTGGCGGTATGCTTCTTGTAAGTAGTTGGTTGTATTAAGGACTACAATTGCTCCTCCTTTATCAGCGGGTTTTATTGTTGTGTCTGTCCTAGATGCCAAATTGTTGATACTTATTTTTCAGATTTTGTCAAGCTTTCTCGGTTTCCTTTCTCTCTGTGGTGTTCGTGCACACACACACACACACACACATATATATATATATATATACAATGCGTGGCATGCGGTACACGTCCTTGCGTGTGATATTATTGAGCGCCCGGTAGTCCACGCAAAAACGAACAGAACCGGACCAAAACAATAGAAGACAACCAAGGGCTAGATAAGGGATGGATGACTTCCCGTTTCAGCATGTCCGCAACGTTTTCTTCTATAATTTTACTTTCAGCTAGAGACACGCGGTAGGGTCGGCGGTGTACGATAGCTGCCCAACAGTATGAATTCGATGTGGTGTTGTACTAGTGCGCTTCAGCTTAGACAAGCGAATACTGAAAGAATTTGCATGTTTCTGTAACAATGCGAGAAGCAGCTGCCTCTGTGAATATGTCAATTCGCTGCTGATAGCAGTGATAAAGGCAGAGGACAAACATGCTTACCGAGGGAAGGTTCTTTGGATGCGATGGCCTGAAGTGGCGTGACAAATACAGGCTCGAAGTCGGCAACACGGGCCACAGTAGTGCCATGTGGCAGTAAGATCTCCGGTCATCGGTGACAAGTGCAGAGCCATTGCAAAAACGAATGACACCGGACGGAAGAACTATACCTTTACGAACACAAAGTGGTGACGGTGAGACCAATACATCACCGTGGCACATGTCGTAGGACGTAATGCTGACAATTTGCTCTTGTAGTGGCGGCAGCTCGATGTCTTTCGCAGCACCCAGATGAAGTGGCTTCTGATTATTGTCGTCAAGCATGTAGTCGGGGTCAGCGAGGTGAACGACGCATTGTCCACAAAAATCGCCGTGGAAGCAGATGATAGAAAATCCCACCCTAAAATTGGTTGGTGAGAGCCGCGGGACAGGACAGCAAAATTGACATGATGGCGGATGCCATCAAATAAAACACGCCCAGTACAAAGTTCGGAACGGCGAATGACGTTCCCCTGGGCAGCAACTAACGTGGGGTCATCGTAAGGCGTCATACTTTCCCTAAATGTTCACGAAAATCGGCACGTATCACATACAATGTCGCACCTCTTTCCACCAAAGCATCGACTCGCACTCCTTCCACTTCCACAGAAAGCATGTTGCACGAGCCTGATAGAGGAATTCAGTTCTAATTCCCAATGCAGTTTTTCCTCCACAAACTGCATCTCTTAGTTTTCCGAATGATTATCAGAGGAGAAGGAGGCGGGCCGAAGTGGAAAAGTGGAATGGCGGAAGGGCGAAGGCGAGCGGCATCTCGTGTTTCGACTTTTTCGTGGTGCAGTCGATGCCGGAGGAGATGGACACCGGTGCGGGGGAGACGAATAACGCCGACCTTGATAAGACGCCCCATTTTACAAATCCCGTTCGCGCACGTCGTTTCGACGCTGATCTTGCTGGCGCTTTCGGCAGCAAAAAAATATGTGGCCGCGATAGCCACAGTAGTAGCATACAGGGCGCGACAAGCGCCACGGTTGGGAATAGAAGGCATTCGGGGCACCTGGAGATAAAGCGGTCAGGTGGGCCGAAGGGTCAGGGGATACGGAATGGTAGTTTACCGGGGGAGCGGCAGCCACTGACGTGTAGGATGGACGCGGCAATGTCGTGTGGGCGTCGCTGAGAGGCACAAAAGCAACTTGAGGGTACGTGGATATAGGGCGCGAATCAGGTGGCTGTACGGGCGCAGAGCCAGTCCGGGATGTAAGTTACTCCATGATGATGTCACGTAAGGAGATTTCCGAAGGCTATGTAGGACGCGGTGTAGGAGGTGTGAAGCCCATGGACCGCAATTCTTCGCGTATAATGTCCCGGAAGAGGTCACGCAGATGGCCATGTCACGTGGAGTGGTGGTCGCCAATGTTCAGTTGGAGGCGAACAGAGACCAGCGCATCAAGGCGCTGGCATGTCATCACGACATCAGCGATGGTAGCTGTGTTTTGCACAGCGAGGGCGTTAAAGGCAACAGGTCCATTGCCTCTCAATATATGGCGCACTTTGTCCGATTCCGGCATGAATTGATTGACACGCCGACACAGTGCGAGGACATCCTCGATGTATGAAGTGTACGATTCACCAAGTGTTGCTGGCGAGTATCGAGTGTCCTCTTCGCGACGGCGGATCGAATGTCAGGTATCCCAAAGACGTGTCGCAACTGCTGCTGGAAGGTAGCCCAGTCGGGTAAGTCATCGACGTGGTTAAAATACCAAGTCTTCGCGACTCCGGTCAGATAAAAAGGCGCGTAACGCAGTTTGGCGGCCTCGTCCCACCTATTAGGGGCACTTACGCGGTCGTAGTCATCAAGCCAGTTTTCTACGTCTTCTCTTCGAAGACCAGTGAAGAGCGGAGGTTCCCGCTGATGTCCCTGTATGTAGGTAGGAGGGGCAGCTTGCGGCGATGCGTGGTTGATGACATCAGCGCCAACAGGCTCAGTCTGGGACATGCTACCTGACTGTGGGCGCAAGCGACGGCCTGAACGAAGCTCCAGGGGGTATAGCGGGCTGCGGGAGGTCAGAGGACCGAAAATACACCTCCACTACGTATGAATTCTTGTAGTCTTGGTTGCGTCAGCGTTTATATGTGGAAAGACCTCGCAAAACGAACGGGCTAGTACACAAACGACGATGATGATGCCCCACAGTGGCAATGAGGACAAAGAGACAAGCGGATGATGGTGATTGTGACCATGCACAGATGAGGACGATGCAACAAATGCCCACAATATATATATAAAGATATATATATATATATATATATATATATATATATATATATATATATATATATATATATATATATATATATATATATATATATATATATATATATATATATATATATATAAGGATATATATATATATATATTGTGAGCGCGAAGAGCGAATGACTCTCTATTCTCTTTGATATCATCATCACGTGTACATCTTCTTCATCTGAAAATATCATCACCAGCGTGATTTAGCTCAAGCCTGGCTGAATCCCCACAAGTGGTGGACTGTGCTTTTCGTTCCCTCAAGTCCTCTCGCCCGTTCTCACTGGAGCTCCGCTCGGGTCGTCGCATACAACCTCCTGCCATGGCGGCCCAAGAAAACCCTGCCCATCCAACGTCGCCGTCCTACTGCAGCCACTGCCACCCGCTCCGCCCAACAACACTCGCCTGCGTGATCCACCTGTGTTTTCCGGTCTCCGAGGTGATGATGTCGAAGACTGGATCAAGAACTACGACCTCGTCAGCAATTTGAACAGGTGGGACAATCCACAGAAGTTGCGCAGCGTCCTATTTTAGTTTTCGGATGTTGCGAAAACTTGGTTCTGGAACCACCACCCGGATCTTCCCGACTGGGACACTTGCGAGCAGCAAATTCGTCAGATATTTGGTGCCCCTGCAGTTCGCACTGAGGCAGAAAAGAAGAAACTCGCTGAACGCACGCAGCTGCCGGGTGAATCTTACACCTCTTATATTGAGGATTTCCTTGCACTGTGCAAGCGCGTTAACACCAGCATGTCTCAGAACGACCAAATACGCCACATTATTAAAGGCATTAACACCGTCGCCTTTAACGCCCTCACGACGCAAAATCCTGCCACCACCCAGGACGCGGTAACCATCTGTCAGCGACTTGACGAGCTTCAGTCTCTTCGCCTTTGCTACGAAGCCACCGACGTTCGTTTGCCTGCACCCCTCGACTTGCGTGCGCTTATTCGTGACATCGTTCGTGAAGAGCTGCACGGGCGCTGCTCTTCCGGTGCTGCGGAAGTTACTTTCCCTGCTGAAAAAGATAGCTTGCGAGACCCGATTAAACAAGAGATCGCCTCCGCATCGCGTGCGACGTGTTCCAACAGTCCCTGCGTGTGCCAGACGCGCACGTACGCCGAAGTTGCCGTGTTCGCTTCCGCACCCACCGTTTCTGTGGCTACAACAGCAGACCATACACCTGTGGCTTCGTTTTCACCGCCAGCGCGTGCACCACCTTACTACGCACCTCGGCGCCCACCTCGACCAATCTGTTACTACTGCGGCTATTGAGGACATATCGCTCGGTTTTGTCGAAGGCGCCAACAAGACGAGCAACGCGGCTACGCTCCAGAAGAACATCGAAGCTTCCGTCCGACCATGAACTACCTACGACCACCCTCCCGATTGTCCTATTACCGTTCACCGTCACCTACTTACCACACAGTCATGCCTGGGAATTCCCGTACGTCTCGCCGCAGGTCGCCTTCGCCAGGTCGCCGTTAAGTGTCGCCTCTACGGCCCGCCTCCCATTTCACGAATGCCCACGCGGAAAACTCCCCAATGCAGTTTTAGGAGGGGAAACTGCATCCCATGGACAGCTAACAATTCCTCCAGAGCGGCCATCGAATTTGATAGTAGTGTTTGTACAAGGTGTACGTGTTGAGGCTCTTGTAGACACTGGCGCTGCAGTTTCGATTATTCGTGCTGATTTTTGTTCCCGCCTTCGAAAAGTCACCACACCTTATGGCGGCCTACCTCTATGTGCGGCGACCAACGCTCTCATTCGTCCACTTGCACAGTGTACAGTTCGTATCTGCATAGGAGGCATTCGTCATCACATTGTTTTTGCGGTATTTCGTGAGTGCACCCACGCTCTCATTCTCGGGTGGAATTTCTTGTCTTCTGCGTCCTCTTTCATATCATGTCATCAGCGCCTCCTGCATCTAAATGCCTCCGACTCTTCTCCGCTTGAACAAGGTGGACGCATCCGCCTTGGCACCAAGTCAGATTATGTACTTCGGCCATACATCGAAATTATAAGTGTTAATTGCACCGACATTGTGGATGGCAACGTACTAATTCTTCCTTACGGTCATACCCTATGTAGGGGCATTGTGATTAGACAAGGGCTTATTCGCTTCTTCAATGGGTCTACGTACCTAACCGCCATAAATCAAACGCCCGAGTGTGTACTGCTCCCCTGTGGCTCAACAGTATCTTGCGCGGTCGACAGTAAGCCTGTTGCGATTGTTACTCTTCCGAGCAACAACCACAACGATGTTCCGAAGTCACAATCCCTGCCATTCAATGCCTCTGCCACACCTGTGTCCGCAACGATAAGCAATCACTTAACACATGATCAAACTGAAGATTTGCTCGCCCTGTTAAATTGACACCGTTCTCTATTTGACGTGAACTCGCCCGCCCTCAGCATGACTACCACCGCTACTCACAGCATCGAGACTGACGGCTCTCGTATTGTACATCGGCGTCCATATCGCGTGTCTCAGGCAGAACGCAAGATCATCGAGCAAAGCGTCTCAGACATGCTACGACGCAACATCATACGTCCTTCCTCGAGTCCCTGGTCATCCCCAGTTGTTCTCGTTCAAAAGAAAGGTGGGATATTGTGTTTGTGCGTCGATTACCGTACGCTAAACAAAATAACGTGCAGGGACGTTTATCCCCTTTCTCGGATCGACGATGCACTGGACTCATTACAGGGCGCAGAGTATTTTTCTAACCTCGGCCATACGTCAGGCGACTGGCAGATACCAATGTCGGAGTCTGATAAAGAGAAGACCACCTTTTCAACGTCAGATGCGTTGTTCGAGTTCAATGCGATGCCTTTTGAACACAGTAATGCGCCCGCCACCTTCGAACGCATGATAGGCGGCGTATTGCGTGGTTTGAAATGGAAAACATGTCTGTGCTATCTTGATGACTTAGTAGTGTTTTCATCCACGTTCTCGCAGCATCTACAACGTCTTGACGAAGTCCTCACATGCCTTGCAAAAGCCGGTCTACAGCTTAACACCAAAAAATGTACCTTTGCTAGCAAGATAATGAAGGTTCTTGGCCACCTTGTCAGCAAAGAAGAAATTCGGCCTGACCCCGAGAAGCTTGCCGCTGTCCTCGATTTTCTCGTCCACTACGTCAAAAGGACCTGCGCAGCTTTCTTGGGTTATCTTCTTACTTGCGGCGCTTCATACGTGGTTTCGCGGAACTTGCGTCTCCGCTCCATCAACTCCTCGCAAAGAACGTCCCCTTCATTTGGTCCGAAGACTGCGAAAGCTCTTTCACGGCATTGAAGCAAGCCCTTACGTCGGATCCGGTACTGCGCCACTTCGATTCCACCGCACCCGCCATCCTTCACACCGACGCAAGTAGTCATTGTCTTGGTGCGGTACTCCTGCAGCGTGACAACAACTCACGCGAACGCGTCGTTGCTCACGCAAGTCGTGCTCTTACCGCTCCAGAAAAGAACTACAGTATCACCGAGCAGGGGTGCCTTGCTGTTGTTTGGGCAGTGCAAAGATTTCGACCATATCTTCACGACCGTCATTTTACCGTCGTGACCGACCATAACTCCCTATGCTGGCTTTCGTCGCTGAAAAACTTATCGGGTCGCCTTGGTCGCTGGGCGCTTTGCTTGCAGGAGTATGATTTTGGTGTCGCCTACAGATCTGGGAAGAAGCATCAAGATGCTGATGCTCTATCGCGCTCTCCTTTGCCCAGCGGAAGCCACTCACCATCGATACTCCAAAACGACAGCACCACTCCAATCGCAGCGCTAAGTTCATCACCTGCCAGCCTATCCGTCCTTGTTTCACAACAACGTGTCGACCCATACTGCTGAAGCATTGTTGACCGCTTAACCGGCTCCACTACTCCTCCAAACGCCAGACTCCGTCGACAACTTAAACAATTTATGCTTGTCAGTGATGCTTTATGTCACTACATTTACCACATCGATGGCGACAAGTGGGCACCCGTCATCTCACGTTCTCTGCAACGTGAAGTTCTGGAAGCCTTTCGTAATGATCCAACCGCCGCTCATCTAGCCTATCACAAGACTTACAACAAAATACGAAGTCGCTGTTTTGGCATGGCCTTTCTTCAGCCGTCGCCAAGTACGTCGCCTCTTGGGTCCATTGCAACGGCGAAACGACCGACAACTGCTCCGGCTGGCTTAATGCAACCTCTTCCTTGTCCCGCCTCGCCTTTTGATGTCGTTGGAATCGACTTGTATGGCCATCTTCCTATCTCATCCAATGGGAATCGCTTGATTGTCACGGCCGTCGACCACCTTACCCGCTACGCAGAAACAGATTCTATACCATCTGGGACTGCCACTGAGATCACCGATTTCTTTCTTCGCGACATATTTTGCGTCATGGAGCTCCACGCATTCTCCTAAGTGATCGTGGCAAAGTCTTCCTATCTTCCATTGTCGAGCAAGTTTTGCGTGCCTCGAACACTGTTCACAAGACCACTTCAAGCTACCACCCGCAGACCAACGGATTGACTGAACGTGTTCATCGGACCCTATCGGACATGATCGATATGTACATTCACCCCAACCAAACGTACTGGGATGCAATTCTACCGTTCGTAACATTCGCCTATAATACGGCTGCTGCACGCACTACCGACTTTTCTCCATTTTTCTCGTCCATGGTCGCTCGCCGAGTTTCGCTCTGGAT